TAAAAGGAGATAACGGATGGACTTGAAGCTAGAACATTATCACTGATAATTAGAGAAGGGGAAAACGGAAAATGAGGGAAAACGGAAAGGAGAGATAATTCATGGACTTGAAGTGGAGAACATTATCATGATAATTAGAGAAGGGGAAAACGGAAAAGGAGTGTGGTTTGGAAAAGGGAGATAACCATGGACTTGAAGAGAACATTATCAGGTGATAATTAGAGAAGGGGAAAACGGAAAATGAGTGTGGTTAAAAGGAGATAACCATGGACTTGAAGCTAGAACATTATCATTGATAATTAAAGAAAGGGAAAAACGGAAAATGAGTGTGGTTAAAAGGAGATAACCATGGACTTGAAGCTAGAACATTATCATTGATAATTAGAGAAGGGGAAAACGGAAAATGCCAGGTGCTGTTAAAAGGAATAACCATGGACTTGAAGCTAGAACATTATCATTGATAATTAGAGAAGGGAAAACGGAAAATGAGTGTGGTTAAAAAGGAGATAACCATGGACTTGAAGCTAGAACATTATCATTGATAATTAGAGAAGGGGAAAACGGAAAATGGGAGGTTAAAACTTGAAGCTAGAACAACCAGGTGATAATTAGAATGGAAAATGAGTGGTTAAAACTTTATGATTGATAATTAAAGAAGGGGAAAACGGAAAATGAGGTGCTGTTAAAAGGAGATAACCATGGACTTGAAGCTAGAACATTATCATTGATAATTAGAGAAGGGGAAAACGGAAAATGAGGTGTGGTTAAAAGGAGATAACCATGGACTTGAAGCTAGAACATTATCATTGATAATTAGAGAAGGGGAAAACGGAAAATGAGTGTGGGTTAAAGGAGATAACCATGGACTTGAAGCTAGAACATTATCATTGATAATTAGAGAAGGGAAAACGGAAAATGAGTGTGGTTAAAAGGAATAACCATGGACTTGAAGAATACATTATCATGATAATTAGAGAAGGGGGAAACGGAAAAAAGAAGAGTGTGGTTAAAAGGGAGATAACTGGAAAGGGAAGCTAGAACATTATCATTGATAATTAAGAGAAGGGAAAACGGAAAATGAGTGTGGTTAAAAGGAGATAACCATGGACTTGAAGCTAGAACATTATCATTGATAATTAGAGAAGGGGAAAACGGAAAAATGAGTGTGGTTAAAAGGAGATAACCATGGACTTGAAGCTAGAACATTATCATTGATAATTAGAGAAGGGGAAAACGGAAAATGAGTGTATTTAAAAGGGAGATAACCATGACTTGAAGCTAGAACATTATCATTGATAATTAAAGAAGGGAAACGGAAAATGAGTGTGGTTAAAAGGAGATAACCATGGACTTGAAGCTAGAATATTATCATTGATAATTAAAGAAGGAAAAACGGAAAATGAGTGTGGTTAAAAGGGAGATAACCATGGACTTGAAGCTAGAACATTATCATTGATAATTAGAGAAGGGGGAAAACGGAAAATGAGGTGGTTAAAAGGGAGAAAAGCGGGACTTGAAGAGAACATTATCATTGATAATTAGAGAAGGGAAAAACGGAAAAATGAGGTGTGGTTAAAAGGAGATAAACTATGGACTTGAAGCTAGAAAATTATCATTGATAATTAAAGAAGGGGAAAAACGAAAATGAGTGTGGTTAAAAGGAGATAACCAGCGGGACTTGAAGAGAAACATTATCATTGATAATTAAAGAAGTGGAAAAACGGAAAATGAGTGTGGTTAAAAGGGAGATAACCATGGACTTGAAGCTAGAACATTATCATTGATAATTAAAGAAGGGGAAAACGGAAAATGAGTGTGGTTAAAAGGGAGATAACCATGGACTTGAAGCTAGAACATTATCATTGATAATTAGAGAAGGGGAAAACGGAAAATGAGGTGGTTAAAAGGAGATAACCATGGACTTGAAGCTAGAACATTATCATTGATAATTAAAGAAGGGAAAAACGGAAAATGAGTGGGTTAAAAGGGAGATAAATGCCATGGACTTGAAGCTAGAACATTATCATTGATAATTAAAGAAGGGGAAAACGGAAAATGAGTGTGGTTAAAAGGGAGATAACCATGGACTTGAAGCTAGAACATTATCATTGATAATTAAAGAAGGGGAAAACGGAAAATGAGTGTGGTTAAAAGGGAGATAACCATGGACTTGAAGCTAGAACATTATCATTGATAATTAGAGAAGAGGAAAACGGAAATGAGGTGTGTGGTTAAAAAGGGGAGATAAATGGACTTGAAGCTAGAACATTATCATTGATAATTAAAGAAGGGAAAACGGAAATGAGGTGTTAAAAGGGGAGATAACCATGGACTTGAAGCTAGAACATTATCATTGATAATTAAAGAAGGGAAAAACGGAAAATGAGTGTGGTTAAAAGGAAGATAACCATGGACTTGAAGCTAGAACATTATCATTGATAATTAGAGAAGGGGAAAACGGAAAATGAGTGTGGTTAAAAGGGAGATAACCATGGACTTGAAGCTAGAACATTATCATTGATAATTAGAGAAGGGGAAAACGGAAAATGAGTGTGGTTAAAAGGAGAATAACCATGGACTTGAAGCTAGAACATTATCATTGATAATTAAAGAAGGGGAAAACGGAAAATGAGGTGGTTAAAAAAGGAAAAGAGAACCATGGACTTGAAGCTAGAACATTATCATTGATAATTAGAGAAGGGAAAACGGAAAATGAGTGTGGTTAAAAAACGGAGATAACCATGGACTTGAAGAGAACATTATCATTGATAATTAAAGAAGGGGAAAACGGAAATGCCAGGTGTGGTTAAAGGAAAATAACCATGGACTTGAAGCTAGAACATTATCATTGATAATTAGAGAAGAGGAAAACGGAAAATGAGTGTGTTTAAAAGGGAGATAACCATGGACTTGAAGCTAGAACATTATCATTGATAATTAGAGAAGGGAAAACGGAAAATGAGTGTGGTTAAAAGGGAGATAACCATGGACTTGAAGCTAGAACATTATCATTGATAATTAGAGAAGGGGAAAACGGAAAATGAGTGTGGTTAAAAGGGAGATAACCATGGACTTGAAGCTAGAACATTATCATTGATAATTAGAGAAGGGGAAAACGGAAATGAGGTGTGGTTAAAAGGGAGATAACCATGGACTGAAGCTGAACATTATCATTGATAATTAGAGAAGGGAAAACGGAAAATGAGTGTGGTTAAAAGGGAGATAAATACATGGACTTGAAGCTAGAACATTATCATTGAAATTAAAGAAGGGGAAAACGGAAAATGCCAGGTTAAAGGGAGATAACCAATGGACTTGAAAAGCTAGAACATTATCAGAATAATTAATGATGGGGAAAACGGAAAAACGAAATGTGGTTAAAAGGAGATAACCATGGACTTGAAGCTAGAACATTATCATTGATAATTAAAGAAGGGGAAAACGGAAAATGAGTGTGGTTAAAAGGAGATAACCATGGACTTGAAGCTAGAACATTATCATTGATAATTAAAAGTGAAGGGGAAAACGGAAAATGCCAGGTGCTTAAAAGGGAGAAGACCATGGACTTGAAGAGAACATTATCATTGATAATTAAAGAAGGGAAAACGGAAATGAGGTGCTGTGGTTAAAAGGAGAAACCATGGACTTGAAGAAGAACATTATGATTGATAATTAAAAGTGGGGAAAACGGAAAAATGAGGTGTGGTTAAAAGGAGAAGACCATGGACTTGAAGCTAGAACATTATCATTGATAATTAAGAAGGGAAAACGGAAAAGTGGGTTAAAAGGTGGAGATAACCATGGACTTGAAAAGCTAGAACATTATCATTGATAATTAAAGAAGGAAAAAACGGAAAATGAGGTGGTTAAAAGGGAAACCATGGACTTGAAGCTAGAACATTATCATTGATAATTAGAGAAAGGGGAAAAACGGAAAATGAGCTGTATTTAAAAGGAGATAACCATGGACTTGAAGCTAGAAAACATTATCATTGATAATTAGAGAAGGGGAAAACGGAAAATGAGTGTGGTTAAAAGGAGAAAACCATGGACTTGAAGCTAGAACATTATCATTGATAATTAGAAAGAAGGGAAAACGGAAAATGCCAGGTGGTATTAAAAAGGAGATAACCATGGACTTGAAGCTAGAACATGAAATTGATAATTAGAAACGGAAAACGCCAGGTGCTGTATTTAAAAGGGAGATAAGAATACATGGACTTGAAAGCTAGAAAACGGAAATGCCAGGTGATGATTAGAGAAGGGGAAAACGGAAAATGATGATGGAAGCTGGTTAAAAACGGAAATGCCATGGACTTGAAGCTGTATTCTTGATAATTAAAGGGGGAAAACGGAAAATGAGGTGTGGTTAAAAGGGAATATAACCATGGATTGAAGCTGGGAAAACGCTTGATAATTAGAAAAGGGAAAAACGAGAAATGACTGAGGTGCTGTATTCTTGGAAAAACCATGGGAAGAGCGGGAGAATACTTGATGATGGAAGCTTGAAAGTGGGGAAAACGGAAAATGAGGTGTGGTATTCTGAAGTATTCTTGGAAGAGCGATGGAAGTGAAAACTAGAGGAAAAACGGAAATGAGTGATGCTGATAACTTGAAAAGCGGAAGTGAGAGAAAACGGAAATGCCAAAAACGGAAATGGTGGTGTATTCTTGGAAAGCGGGAAGTGGAGAATAGAACATGATGATGATAATTGAAAGGGAAAACGGAAAATGGGTGCTGTATTCTTGAAAACCAGGACTTGAAGGAATTGATAATTGAAAGAAGGGGAAAACGGAAAATGGTGCTGTATTCTTGGAAGAGCGGAAGTGGAGAATATCATTGAATGGAAGAAGGGAAAGTGCGGAAAAACGGAAATGCCAGGTGCTGTATTCTGAAAAGCGGAAGTAGAACATTATCATTGATGATGGAAGCTTGAAAAACAGTGTGGGAAAAAAAGGAAATGCCAGGTGCTGTATTCTTGAAGAGCGGGAAGTGGAGAATCACTTGATGATGGAAGTGGGGAAAACGGAAATGCCAGGTGCTGTTTCTTGGAAGAGGAGAAACCATGAATACTTGATGATGGAAGCTTGAAAGTGCGGGGAAAACGGAAATGCCAGGTGCTGTATTCTTGGAAGTGGAGAATATTGATGATGGAAAAAAGGAAAGTGGGGAAAACGGAAATGCCAGGTGCTGTATTCTTGAAAAGGGGAAGTGGAGAATACTTGATGATGGAAGCTTGAAAGTGCGGGAAAACGGAAATGCCAGGTGCTGTATTCTTGAAAAGCGGGAAGTGGAGAATACTTGATGATGGAAGCTTGAAAGTGCAGGAAAACGAAATGCCAGGTGCTGTATTCTTGGAGCGGGAAGAAGGAGAAAATTGATGATGGAAGCTTGAAAAAGGAGAAAACGGAAATGCCAGAAGCTAGAATTCTTGAAAAAGAAGGGGAGAATGGATGGAAGTTAAAGTGCGGGAAACGGAAAGATGCCAGGTGCTTTCTTAAAAAGTGGAGAATGACTTGATGATGGAAACTTGAAATGCCAGGTGCTGTATTCTTGGAAAAAGCATGAAGTGGAGAATACTTGATGATGGAAAGCTTGAAAATGGGAAAACGGAAATGCCAGGTGCTGTATTCTTGGAAAAGCGGGAAGTGGAGAATACTTGATGATGGAAGCTTGAAAGTGGACTTGAAAACGGAAATGCCAGGTGCTGTAAATTCTTGGAAAAGCGGGAAGTGGAGAATACTTGATGATGGAAGCTTGAAAGTGCGGGAAAACGGAAAATGAGGTGCTGTATTCTTGAAGAGCGGGGAGTGGAGAATACTTGATGATGGAAGCTTGAGAAGGGAAAACGGAAATGCCAGGTGCTGTATTCTTGGAAAAGCGGGAAGTGGAGAATACTTGATGATGGAAGCTTGAAAGTGCGGGAAAACGGAAATGCCAGGTGCTGTATTCTTGGAAAAGCGGGAAGTGGAGAATACTTGATGATGGAAGCTTGAAAGTGCGGGAAAACGGAAATGCCAGGTGCTGTATTCTTGGAAAAGAAGGGAAAAACGTGGAGAATACTTGATGATGGAAGCTTGAAAGTATAATTGCGGGGAAAACGGAAAATGCCAGGTGCTGTATTCTTGGAAAAACGGGAAGTGGAGAATACTTGATGATGTAAGCTTGAAAGTGCGGGAAAACGGAAATGCCAGGTGCTGTATTATTGGAAGAGCGGGAAGTAGAGAATACTTGATGATGGAAGCTTGAAAGTGCGGGAAACGAAATGCCAGGTGCTGTATTCTTGGAAAAGCGGGAAGTGGAGAATACTTGATGATGGAAGCTTGAAAGTGCGGGAAAACGGAAATGCCAGGTGCTGTATTCTTGGAAAAGCGGGAAGTGGAGAATACTTGATGATGTAAGCTTGAAAGTGCGGGAAAACGGAAATGCCAGGTGCTGTATTCTTGGAAGTGGAGAATTACTTGATGATGGAAGCTTGAAAGGGGAAACGAAATGCCAGGTGCTGTATTCTTGAAGAGTGGGAAGCTAGAGAATGATGATAAGCTTGAAAGTGTGGGAAAACGGAAATGCCAGGTGCTGTATTCTTGGAAAAGCGGGAAGTGGAGAATACTTGATGATGAAGCTTGAAAGTGAGGGAAAACGGAAATGCCAGGTGCTGTATTCTTGGAAGAGCGGGAAGTGGAGAATACTTGATGATGTAAGCTTGAAAGTGCGGGGAAACGGAAAAACAGGTGCTGTATTCTTGGAAAAGCGGGAAGTGGAGAATACTTGATGATGGAAAGCTTGAAAGTGCGGGAAAACGGAAATGCCAGGTGCTGTATTCTTGGAAAGAGCGGGAAATGGAGAATACTTGATGATGGAAGCTAGAAAGTACGGGAAAACGGAAAACGGCCAGGTGCTGTATTCTTGGAAGAGCGGAAGTAGAGAATACTTGATGATGGAAGCTTGAAAGTGGAAAAAATGGAAATGCCAGGTGCTGTATTCTTGGAAGAGCGGGAAGTAGAGAATACTTGATGATGTAAGCTTGAAAGTGGGGAAAACGGAAATGCCAGGTGCTGTATTCTTGGAAAAGCGGGAAGTGGAGAATACTTGATGATGGAAGCTTGAAAGGGGGAAAACGAATGCCAGGTTGTATTCTTGAAGAGTGGGAAGCAGAGAATACTTGATGATGGAAGCTTGAAAGTGCGGAAAAAGGAAATAACCAGGGATGCTGTATTCTTGGAAGAGCGGGAAGTAGAGAGAAAAACAAGTACTTGATGATGTAAGCTTGAAAGTGCGGGAAAACGGAAATGCCAGGTGCTGTATTCTTGGAAGAGCGGGAAGTGGATAATACTTGATGATGTAAGCTTGAAAGTGCGGGAAAACGGAAATGCCAGGTGCTGTATTCTTGGAAAGCGGGAAGTGGAGAATACTTGATGATGTAAGCTTGAAAGTGCGGAAAACGGAAATGCCAGGTGCTGTATTCTTGGAAGAGCGGGAAGTGAGAATACTTGATGATGTAAGGCTTGAAAGTGCGGGAAAACGGAAATGCCAGGTGCTGTATTCTTGGAAGAGCGAAGTGGAGAATATCTGATGATGTAAGCTTGAAAGTGCGGGAAAACGGAAATGCCAGGTGCTGTATTCTTGGAAGAGCGGGAAGTGGAGAATACTTGATGATGTAAGCTTGAAAGTGCGGGAAAACGGAAATGCCAGGTGCTGTATTCTTGGAAGAGCGGGAAGTGGAGAATACTTGATGATGTAAAGCTTGAAAGTGCGGGGAAAACGGAAATGCCAGGTGCTGTATTCTTGGAAGAGCGGGAAGTGGAGAATACTTGATGATGTAAAG